TAAGGTTTTTTCCCGGTTAAACAAGTAGGGAATTTTTAGCCAATCAACAACCCCCCCCCCCCCCGCAACGGATAGCAGGAGAGACGCCAAGGCCTCCACACACCGGATCTGCTGTGTGTGACGGCGGATTGTCCCGGTTTCACTTCAGCCCTCGCACTACTGTACATTCCGGAGACACGCTTGTTATCCACTTAAAGGGGAGAATCTGATTAGATTCGAGCAGCAATGGCCGTTCAGTCACCAAGGCCGGCTGTGACAATGGCAGGCCTGTGCAAGTGTGAAGTCGGACATGCTGGGGAAGAATTATCAGTGCCTGCCAACGCACAAGAGGAAGAGGGACGAGATAAGAATCTAATCGATCGAGGTTCAAGTTTGGGGATTGTCGCGGGTGTTTCGGACCATTCCGTTTTACTTACTCTTTTGGGAGTACAGACACCAGCACCTGCTCCAACAGCCGAGGCATTGTTTTGCAATTACAGGCAGGACAGAGGTCACAGGTTCACTTTCAGTTTGCACACATTACCTCTATTACAGCTGGCATGCAACTATTTCAGTGCAAATAAGTTTTAATGTATTTTAGCAGAGTCTGTTTGTTTTGTTTGTTTTTTGTCACTTTGCAGTTTTAAGCTTAACCTGTAAAACCTGCAAGTCATGAAGAAATCAGTTGCGTCTTTCTACTATGTTGGAGACATTTGAACACCTAAGCAAATGTCTGAATTGATTTTAGCAGTTCTGAATCGATTCATGCAAGCAATCAAACCCGACGTCAGCTATAAATCACAGCAGCAGTTAAAAAGTACACCACGTTGAAAATAAAAAATAATAATATGCAACATCTGAAACATGCATACAAGTGATCGTTGTGTGATTTACCTCAAAGTTAAAGGTTGCATTTCTCAAAGTCTGCTCAGAAATCCTGCACTTGAAAAGGTTTTCATAACTGTTGCGCTCAAACCCTCTCTTCTAATTGAAACGCTCTTGCCAAACCCAGTTTCAGTCTTGCCCAAGTTCTCCTTTCACTTCAGAAAAATCCAACACCTTATGAAACTTTGGGTGATGGTGACGTTAGTTAGCTGTACAAATTGTGGACAAACCGAGTTGAGGGGTTTGGACTCATTTCTCCACCCGGGTTGATTTATGGCATTTTTGCAGAAAACATTTAGGCACCGTTCAGTGATCTTTCTATCTAAAATGAATGAAAGTGGAACAAAAAACAAAAAGGCTCGTCAGTCATGCTTTCTGTGTTTTTGCTGAGCGTGTTTACCAGTAAATATCTGTAACCACACACACCCGATAAGAGTGGGAAAGGGATCTCTTAGCAAAATTTGCATTCCACGGTGACGGTTCAGTTTTTTTTTCTTTTTCCTACAAATGCATGTCAATCAAAAAAAATAAAGAAAAATATCATTCATTCCAAAACCTACCACACACCAACTTGTGATGTGGCAATTTAACTCCCTGGACAGAATCTAGCTCATTTGTCCCTACCTGTAGAAGCTGGATATCTGTCAAGGTGATCACTTGGACCACACAGCAGCGGCTCATGACTCTCCAAAGTGGCAGCGACTCCCACCAGAGAGGCTGCGGATTTGTGCAGGGGAGCAAACCGTCGATGCCACAGCTCTGTTTTGCACATGTGGACTAGAAGGGGAAGAAACAGAGAGGTGCGGCGGCCTCCTTCCTGAGCTTTTGCAGAAATATCGGAAAGGAAGGCATGACACATCAGCTTGTTTAGGAGCCTCTTCCTGTCCCTGCCTGTGTGTTTTTTGGGCCGAAAAAGCCCTTACAGAGGCAAAAAAAAAAAAAAAAAGTACTGATTG